GCATATACATATTTCTATCTAGGTAGGTACGTACTTGAATCTACAAGACGTGAAAGCTCACGAAAACTGCACATTACGGCGTTCAAATCTATTTCCAACGTTCCTATATAAAATATCTTCTATCTTCCAATAGCTAGACGGTTATCTGTAGAGTGTAGGTAGGGTTATAACACATTTAATTTATAACATATATTAGGGCAAGCATTAAGCCAATCTCAAATACCTTTGAAAGGCTTTTCAAGATGTTGTCACGTTATAACTCTTTCTGCAATTAAAAATATTCAGTAACGTTATTATGTACTTAATTGAATACAATAAAATTAGAAATTAAATTAATTGATCTATAAGACATTTTATTTATTGTATGCTACTTTTTATATACGGTACTTTCATTTTGATAGGCGTCAACCCTAGTGGCAGGTAACGTTACTGCGTCGCTTATCGACGACGAGCGACGAGTCGATCGTTTATATCTGATTTGAATTTCGCACATTACGGCCCATCGTACTTCGGTCGCCCCTCACCGCGCTGTATAAACACTCCAACACTTTAAGTAACTGCTGAAATTCGACGGAAAACGTCGACTTGCGCTTATCTTATTTCTTCGAACAACAGTTACGTAAATATGGAAAGAGCTCCCGGGGCGCGGCGGAGTATTTCATTATCCGTGACCTGTTGAGCGCAAGATTTGTGACTCGATCTTCCTTACGCAACATCATATGTTCGTAATTTATGTTTTTATTTCGCTTATCAATTTATTTACTAAGTGAAGATCTTTACTTTTAATGTTTATTAAACAATATATGAGAAATATCCGTATCACATATGCATAGTACAAGTATTATAAGAATTAAATTAGTTATTTTTGAAACTATTTTCTTTGCAAATCCGCAGCATTTTCCCAAATGTTGCGGATTTGCAAAGAAAATATCGAAGTTACCTCCCAACCCGTGATTTTTTATCATAGTATTTCTGGAGCACTTACTAGCCTCCGGTTCCCACGCCCCGACTTCCGTTTAACGGCAATCAGGCCCAGGCTTGCGACGCTCTGTCAATACGCAGGCGAGAGGTTTCCCTGATAAACTTATCTGACTCACTCCCTACCCCCTAACCCTTCCCCCTGTCGTCTGCGTTTATCTCTCACGTATGTTCGTACGCTACGCTCGCACCGCGTTACTTTCTTACAAAGTTGCCTGACTTGTGCTTTCGTAACGGTTTATATGGATGCCTTGAATTTCTGATAACAAAAGAGTAATTTTGATAATTTTGAATCCATTTTTCTTATATACTTGTATGTTTATCACGTTACTAAAAACAGACACAGCAATATTGTGCAGTAATACACTACACTGCAAGACAAGCAACATAATCGTAGTTAAATAACTATTTATCACAAATTCTTAAAATCAAGTATTATTCGGAAAATAATACTTTAACCTTTTAATCAACTCGATTATATTTATTATAGGAAATTATTCAACATGACGGTAATATATCCCCTGTCCATTTAATACAGTATAGTACAGTTCTATGCCGGTCATATATTATTTATTTTTATTCACGTCAAATAAAATATTGTACAGCAGTCGTCTGTAAAATTTTGTAATATACATATAAATACGTTGTGGTACTGTATTCGTTTAAAATAAAATTGAATGCTTTATCCTTTATAAAGTTGTCTATTTGGCCGTCTGCCCGTAGTTCAGCAAAAATCTCAAAGGAAACAGAAATTTCAGTACTAGGAAACAGATACAAAATCTTATAAAATGCAGTTAACGTCAACACACATGCGAGCCGCTCCAGTGAACTCGTTCACAAACTTGCTTCATTTTCTTATACTGTATTGAGCTTGGACATGGTCGATAACATTCTCTAATTCGAACTTTGTCTACTCTAAAAGTAATACGTCCTAGTCAACAGCACAAGCCATAAAACTGACAACTTCATTCGCTTAAATTACCGTTGTCAAGATTTTAATTAAGAGTTTTTATTTTATAAGTCCCTACGACTGTGCTCACCAAGAACTCATCACAAGTATAGTATTATACGTAGCGATGTATATACTACGCGAATTAATAAAATTCGAACCCCGCCCGGATTTACTTAAACGCATCGGCTTTGTTCGTAATACTCCTGAGTATTTTATTCTGCCTTTTTTATTTCCACACTTTTTTATGTTCGCTTGAAGGTTCGTAAAGGTGGATTAAAAAAACATCAACCGGTGCCCAATTGCTTCCGTTAGTGTCGACAGGGAATAATTGTGAAATTCCCAGTAAGTAAAATAATGTAAACTACACATTTTCACCTGAAGATGTTTTGTATTTTTTTATAATTTAATATGCTTAATATGTATTCCGACCAAATGGTTATAAAATCAATGTTCTTAAAAGGTAAGCACAATTCTACACCTTCGACGATATTGACATTACTGTTTTACCTTAAAAGGTTTTCACTCAAAATCAATCGAGCGAAAATTTAATGACTGCTTTCAGATTCATATTAATTCACCTTTACGTACGAATGTTCAACGAAGTGGTGAAGCATAGGACGTAGTGTTTTCTCACGAAACAATTAAATTCCTCATACATCGATGAGATTAGAAGCAGCGTTATATCGAGTGGAGGCGTATTGGAGCAAATCTTAAGTCCGCTCGGTTGAGTTAAGCCGAGCTCTGGTGTCGAATACTACTAGGTACTATTCCAGTGAGATCAATATATCGGCCGGAGGGCGCGCCTACCTAGCTGGGGCTAAATACAATTTACCTTTGTTATTTTTCGTGTCATTAAACTGCGTCGCGATCTCGAACGCTTGATCGGGATTGCGAACTCCAATGCGAATTGTTTGTGACCTTTTGTTTCCCACTCCGCTCGCCAACGACGCGACATCAATTAACGTCGGATCCCCTGACTGAATTTTCTTCATAGCCGTTCGTATTATTGTACGTAGATTTAAAATGGAACAATTTTCCACTGTTGAATAAGGTTTAGAACCAGATTTTGTTTGTATATTTTGAACTGAGTTTTTAATTTAATTTTAGCAGCAGTGACAAAGAGGAATAAGACTTTTAACAAATTTCGTTGTCATATTATCTTAGCTAAAAGTGGGCAGGCATTTATTCTGGTATGTCCCCCCGGTTGCGTGTTACCGAACAAATGGAGGGTGCCACGGCAGCAGTGACTGCCTCTGGCGTAGGCGCCGGTTCATTTGTAAAGCTTTATCGGACCTAACAAATGGCGACACTCACTATTTTTATGTTGTGGACGATCGAAGAATACTTAGATAGAAGATGTAATATACTTTATGTACATGTATACAGTAACGAAAGGACGTAGAAAATAGATTTAAGTACATGTATAATAATAAGGCGACATTAGGGAATAGGATTTCATTATTGAACAGGTAGGTAATATGCAAAAAGGAGAAAATAAAATAATGACGAACATACAATGAAAGAAAGAAATATGTTAATTGTAATAAGAAATTGAAACCTATCTAAATCATGTTTATTTTATCTAAACTTATACTTTATATAGTTATAAAAACGACTTGCCTAAATATTAAAGTAGGGAACATAAAATAAACTAAATTGTATAGATTAAACTGACATACAAATATTCAAATATTTCAGAATGTTTTTTACTTATAGTTCATTTTATCAAATAACTTAGTCGATTTTCGTAATATAAAGTTTACATATCATATCCTTATATATATTTACACCTCCATATATGTTATGTTACATACATACCTTAGTATGTTCGTATCGTAACTTTTTATTATGTTTTAAAGATGAAAACTTCCATATAACTTATGTGAAGCCGAGTCCCTCAACTTATTTTACATGTTGATTATTCAGCCTTATCTAGGCATAAAACTTGGAGGAAAGACACTCAACGCGGTAAAGCCCGCGTACTCACTTCGTCGCGTTAATGCAAAAGCACGTAGTTCCATGTCGGCGCAGAAAGTTGTGCAAAGTGCACAAAGTGCGCTAACGCCTAGCAAAGCCTTCATTTGTCGGCTTGTGACGTCCGCGTGACAAATGTGGACGCGACTTTATATACCTCCGTATTCTCAACGAAGATAGGTTGTGATTATGCAGCTCTATGAAAAATGTAACTGCAAACTTTAATATTCGTATATTTTAGAATATGTCGTTCTATATTATACGCAACTCTAACTTTTGAAAAAATAAAAAAGCCTCAACAGGATTTCGGAGGAAATTTAAGGCTATCTATCCCGTGACTTTAATTTAAGCCTACGTACTTTTCTGTAACGATGCTACTTGGTAACGAAAATCCTATTGCTAGAGGTTTGGGTTAGCGTAGATTGGGTAATTTATACTTGCCTCCTGCCCTCCCTTCAGGGGCGGGTAGGAATATACAAGTACCAAACAGAGCTACTCTTTGTTTAAATTACTCAATCAATCGATTAAAGTGGATTTCAAAATTGTTAAAATATTATATATTTTAGTAAATTACTTCCAGGGACAGACTAAAATCATTTAATTCTTATACTTTAAATATTGTGTATAATTGTTACCATTGTATATTATTTCAATAAAACTATGATATTAGAGATATTATTGGAAGGTATCGTATCCAAATAATTATATAATTTAAAACTCGTAAAATTTGCCTTGTTTTATATAATAAGTATTCAATGATAAGCTCCTTGACTTGGTAAAGCAAATTAAAATTCAATTTGTGATTCGAACCGTGAAGCATAACGGATTGTCGACCGATTTCGTCACCCCCTTTCTTCCATAATTTCTCGGCTCGTTCGATCCCTGGAAAGTATGAGTATTCGAAGTGTCTTGCTGAAATTAGTAAAATAAATGATTAATAAAAATTTACTAGAAATAAGTCGTAGTCCACCAGAGTAACTCTTGTTCAAGAGATTCTACGAGCTTAGGTCATATTTTTTATGAAGATAAAACTGCTTAAATATACAGATTCTTAAATATGCATACAGATTTTCTTAAAAATTTAATTTTGTTTCAGGTGGAATGCAAAAAAGCCCAACCAAAAGAAGTAATGCTCCCAGCAAACTTGGCAAAGACGAGAGCCGCCGGACGCGGCGCGTACGGTGAGTTGTTAGGTACCGCCGTAGCGGCTGGCGTGACAGGCGGCGTCCGATATACCCCTTATCCAGTCCATGCACCAGCGCAGCTTCTTGTTGCGGGCGCGGGGTCTGGTACCGCTGGTGCCGCACATGCAGCTGCTTACCGTCGTGCTCTAGCCGCTCTTCGCCCAGCACCAAGGCCCCCACGACCTGCCCTTGCTCCTCTCGCTATTCCTCCACTTGCGTATTCCGTTTCTGAACTTTTGGGTGCTCATGCACTTGATATTCCATCTCTGTACTCTCCCCTGACTCATGCTACTTTGCCGACTCCTTTGCCTCTCTGATCCGCAATTCTTTTCCAACAGCATCCGCATCACCCATTCTAATTGACGTGCATGACAGACAACTCAATATAGTCATATTTATTTAACTTGTAGTGCATCTTCAATGCATTCCTCTATACGCTGCGCTGGCAATCTTATCCTATTCATTCCTGATATCTTTTACATTCCTACTCTCCCCTGCCTTGCCAAAAATACGAATATTACAATGTACATTAAGGAAACTGATAATATCCAAAGTGTCTTATTTTTAGTAATTTCCATTAGTAAGTCAGTTAGATAGCAGATTTTCGAAATGTATATCAAAATAAATTAGTCATACCATAGACTCAGCTATTTTACATTATAATAATTTACATAAATATATATTTGTTAATAATTAGTAGAAGAAAACTGGAACAATTTTATGTAGGGATGATAGAGATGAATATTTTTCTACCAGGTAGTAGGTGCTTACTTCAGTTTGATTTACAAATAGATAGAAATATAGTTCAGAGCCTGGTATTTAACCTTATTTTTAAGTAGATTTTTAAAATGGATATACAATAAGAGCCTTGCGGTTCTGCTGATTCTTGCCAATTTTGCTACATATCCATCCATAATATAAATAAACAGTTTAGTGAAATAATTTTTAGTTACATCATTGATTGCAAATAAACAATTGGTGAAATTAATATATAATCTATTTTCGTAAGTGATATTTATTCTTTAGCTTTTTACGACGAATAGTTTTACAGTTTGATGTCGGCTTTTCAAAAAATGTTATCAGTGGATGAAAGAGGTACCTATTATCTTTGGATGTTATATATGAGTTTGTGAGATCTTTAGAAAAATGTTTTATTTATATTTATTTAATATTGTTGTAAGATTAATGATTATACTAGTCTAGGTGTACTTAATTAATGTCTTTAATATTTTGTGTGTTTATAGTAATCAATTTATTTTATTTGAATCTTTACTCCTTACATATTATTTATATTGTGCAATGCCAAACTAGGACCAAATATTATGTTCACTATTAGTTTTATTTAGTTGTAATTATTTCAATACATCATTATTAACTGTTACTGTTCCTTGGACAGTAAGTTCATAATACACTCAAAAATATTTGTATTAAAAGTAGCTCTCGTAAACTAATAGAATTAATTGTATTAACTTATTATGTAGGTTCAGTAGTATGACATTAATAAATTCATTTCTAAAATATTTAAAGACGTTTTTTGTTTAACATGTTTAGCTTTAGACTAACCATGTGTAGAATAGATTAACATGTAAAGTAAATGTTGGACATTGTTGTCTACAATGATGAAAAGCACTAACATACCCCATTATTATAATGCCAATATAGAAAATGTTTGATGGTAGAATATTAGTAATATTGAATGCTCTTATATAAATATAAATTAAGTATATATCTGACCATATACTCACTATTTGTATAAAAAAACTTCGCCAAGCAAAATAGTGTCTCACGGCACATCACTAGTTCAGATAATATAATATAATATAAAAAATAAACACACACAATAAATGTAAGATATAAGGATAGATCGATTTATGTAAATGTTTTTACATTTCTAGATTTCATGTGGTCATTGGGTGCTCTTCCTGATGGTAAGTTATATCACGTTTTTTTTTTTATTTACAAGTCACTCCATTCGTAAGCCATTCCTGCATCTGTCAGGTCATTATTAACAATATTATATTAATAGGCCTAATTGTGCTAACTGATCATGAGCATTATCAATTACGTAGTTAATTTACTTAAAGTGTTAGGTGTCGGTGCATTTAATTAAGGGATAATACGTGTCGTAGGTATGTCCGTCTGGTGCATGATGGATGATATGGGCTAACAGATACACTATTTTGATTGGCAATAATGTGATAAACGATCCGTCCGGTCTGCTGTAGTAACAGTGTCTGCCGATGCCTGTTGTTGGATCATCATTCATTTTATATTTTAACGAACCTCATGTTATTAAAGGAACTAATAGTACAATATACATATGTTTTAAGTTCATCAAGTATTATGACTTCAACAAACCCGATTACTTTATAGATATTTTTGTGTATCGTTAATATAAAAAAACCTTTATGAGAACTGTACCAAAAATTGTCAGGCTAGTTGTTTGTTTGTATTGACAAGAATATCTTGTTTCAAATGATGTCATCTATCTAAGTGTTATCATGGCCTAGTGGTTTACTATCTAGACTTATAGTTTCAGAACATTGTACGTTCGAATTTGATTGACGTCAAAGAATCTTTATTCCTGACTAACTCCTCTTGCGATGGAAGCTGCTAAGAAAGCTCTAAGAAATATAGACATGAAATTTGGGCTTACAGTGGAGATTACCTTAACGTTTAACTTTTTATTAGTTATGTTTTTTTTATGTTCGGACTTGTATTTTATGGTTTACTCGCAATTCAGTCCGTCTTATTTATAATTTTAAATTAATAATATCTTCAATTTTCATACTTTTCATAAATCATTGGTAGAGTTATGCAAAATGCGGCGCTATCATAACAATTGATATCACTTTAATTATTTTTGACATCAAATAACATGCGTAACATCTATAATACGGTAGTCGGGTAACAGAAGTGACGTATAGTGTACTATTTGTTTCAATGTAGTTAATAATATTGTGCTTTAGTTTTGGGTTCAACAAATTTATTTCATTATTAACAAAATAAGACGCAGTATCACAATTTGTTTCTTAATGAAATAAATATGTTAATGAATACAGTAGGTATCTCTTACTGCTGTTCAAAGCCATCGTTAGTTCACATAGACTGCGCTACATTCAACGATGTTTACAAAATATCATCCGCTGGACATTGTCCAAAGCGGTGTCGTACCAATCGAGTACGATACACTTTCCTACCTTCTATGTGACGGCTCTATTTTAGAACGAGGCCAGAGGGACATGTGTTACATACCAAATGTTTATGTCGACCAATGAATCAGTATCAGAATGTGACATTAAACTAATATAAAATACAAAAGCATGCGACTTGATTACTAACTTCTATTATATTTGCTACTGTGTACTTCTAATAATATTTGACTGTTTGTTGTACAGGTTTTCCCGCAGCATATGCCGCGTATGCGGCAGGACGTAGCTATTCGGGCTATCCTAGCTTCGGGCTACCATATCCTGCAGGTAATCCCCTGGCGAGCTTGCACCACCAACTGTCCGGCAATCACTATCACCACCTGGCGACACTCCTGCCATACCACCCGCTCGAGCTCAGCGGGGTTTACAATGTACATGCCATGCATCTGTGAACTCGCGCCGCGACAATGCATTCCACTAACTGCTAACGTACTAGACACAAATTCGCTTAATAACATACCGCTCATATGCAGGAATAACAATGCATACGCTGAATCGCCTTTACTAAGGTGACTATATCCTAACTTCCCATTTCAACTAACTTCTCCTATGACAAAAGTTCGAGTGAACTCACACTAACAACTTTACTAACAAGTTAACACCTCTAACAATGACTGAACCATCTAGATAAACGGCTCGCCGTCAATTACAAAACGTCCATGTTTTGAGAAGTGCTGCTTATTGTTTATCTTCAGCATTTTGTCGAGACAATCCGGCCAATTGCGAGCGCCTCGCTCTATGTTTACAAATGATTCGCCCTAACGATTCTCAAATGCTACGCGTCGGGCAAACACTCTAGCGCAAATACCGCGTTCGCTTCGATTCTCCGCCCGCCGTGCCTCGCCTCGTATCTCAGTTCTCCCCTCGCCCTTTCTTGCCCTCGTCTAGTATCGCACCATCACCCACTCCTCATTAACAGAGAAAGCTTTTAAAAGAGATTTAAACAGATTCAAACAAAAGTACTGAAAAAGTGACGTCCTTTTTGTGGTGACTTCTATGTAAATCGCGAGGCGTACGAAAAAGAATTTTCACTAATTAAAAGTAGTCCACCAGAGGCTTCTAGTCGATCCCGTGAATGAGACTAGAATGTTAATTTTTGTGGTAATTTCGGCATTTCAAAGTTCGTTGCATCGTACTTAAGCCTAATATACAAGAATACGAGTAAATTTTCAAAGTGTGGGCGGGAGCGGAGTTAGGTAAGAGGTGCGGCGAGCACAGCTGCACAAATACTCTTCTCGTTATTTGTCCACGCTCTGTGTTTGAGCTGCCTTCGCTCAACCATAATTACGCCACTAAGCTTTGGCTTTCCCATTTTTCGTGGCGAATATACAAACCGTATATTTTTTCGATTGAACTTAAATTAAACCGGAAATGCAAACTATTGGAAATTTTTAATTGAGCGAGTTGAATGTGAGTAAAATGCAGTAGGATATATAAAAAATAAATAGTCGTACAATCGGAGAGTGGTCAAGATTTTCCCTCGTATTAGTCGTATAAATTGTTTCAAGTAATTACTTTCGAGCGTTCGTTTTACGACACGCGAGACAAACATTTCTAGCGCTAACAAAAAAGTTTACCATTTGTAGATAGCAGTTCAAATATAAAAAGTAACAATTGGGCAGCTTTTTAATTACTTTTATTGAAATAAACGAATCAACGAATGAGAACAGCCTTAAACCAAAGAATCTTAAAACCGTGTTGAGCAAAATGGTATTAAGAAACTATGTAGGCATGCATAAAACTCTCCTACACATTTCTCGACGTAACGTTTCGTAGGCCATTTACAGAAAATACAGACCTATTGTTTAATTTTTAACACAGACCACGTCTGAAATTCAGCATGTGAATTTACCGCACACGAAAATCCGGTTCCTTGCCGGTGGCTGGTTATATGACCGCAACGTGCGTACACTGTGCGCCGGCGCGCGACCCCGCCACAATTAATGTGCGCCCATTTGCCCATTAGCATTCCTCAGCCGACGCCGCTTCCAGCTTATTGGTAACATCATCTACATCACCAATATTTAGACCACCATAAATTATACCCCGATGTATCCGGTCGCAAATGGTTAATTAAATATCATGGTTTGAATATTAATATCTCAGTGTGCGGTAGATGAAGCCGCATGGACTATTCGTTTTTGTATTGCCATGTTGTGACTATATTGATGCGTATATAAGAATTCGTAGTATATAATGATACTATAATAAAGGGTATTATGAAATGACGTTTCGGCTGACAATGGAATGAAAGAAGGTCTTTTGCTATCCTTTAACAAAGAATAATGTCTTCCACTAGTGAAATGACTGCACATACTGTAGTGGTTAGATGGAAGACAGTTTTCTTATCACGAATATACAAACAACTTTATTACGTTTTAACAAAACATAATTAATATAATAACTATTTTTTTCTATTCTTTTGCATCCATCGACTTTTTATGTCGCATGGCATTGAAGTCCAACTTTTCACAAATGTAGGCCATTTCAGGCTTGTTAATACTAGTATGGTTCGATAAGAAAATAAAATCAAGTGTTCTAATATGTATTTAATATTAATATTAATCTTATAATCAAGATTTATAGAAGTATAATAAATCTTGTATAATCTTAAACATTAATGGTAATAGACCAAAGCAAGTTTTTGTAGTTCTGCGGTAGTATAATGATATATGTAGGATAGATTTTAGAACATTTTATCTCTTTCGCTCTCTTTATCTTTAGCCGTTAACAATAAAAGCGGCATAATAATAGGCTAGCAGAACATTTATAGCATATATAATACTTAGATGTCCTCTATATAGAATGGTGTAGTGAATAGTGTTTGGATTTCAATAGGGCATAGGTAAACTGAACACAACGTCATGATTTATAATGTTTGTAGTGTAATATATAGTAACTAGTTTAAGTGTCTGTGACATGTACAATCAACATTATTAATTCAAAAGATACCTACTTGAAACATGTAATTATGGTGAAGATATTTTAGATAGTACGTGGGTGTAATATAATATAGAACAAGCATTAAATTTTTATTTATTATTTAGACACTGTCGAATTTAGAAGATATAAAAGTTAGTTTATTGTTTATGTATTAAAGTTAAACGGCTCCAACTAAAACATAGTTGCATTAGGTCCTAGAATCATATATTGGATAAACTAGCAGAATATAGACAACATGAAAAAAATAGTTAATGTTTATACAAGCCATGGCTAAGCCTTTAACTTTTTATATTTTTCTCTTAGAAACTATTCCTTGAATATTAATTACTTTTCATTAGAACATATAATATATAATATTTTCTCTACATACTCTGTTTCAACTTTTTTTGCCAGAAAGCAAATTTATTTGTAATGGTACCTAATTCCTTGAACACTCAAAAAGTTCGAGGATATGTTGTGATTCATATCCATGTCTATAGTCTATAAAAAACTAGAGATACCTCTTCTTATAAGATAGCATGATTACCATTCCAGTAGTCTCAAAAACCTGTCCATAAAAGAGGTACTGTTAAATCTGTGTATGTAATATTCTAGTCTAATACTGTAGACCAACAAATTAATCAAGTGTAATTTATCCTTGTCTATATTAACCAACGGTAAATAGAAGTAGATTCACCTGTAACGGCATCATGTATAAATAATTAATATCGCCCTTACGTGTCAACATGAGTGACGCATTCCATTCAACGTACGTTATAACCTCGTTAAAATATTCACACAAACATGTTCGTTCGTTGTAGCAATTATTTTATTTAGGAACATCCCCCGATTAGTAATATGAGTGTTTAAAAAATATCACACTAATCTGACTAAATATATATTTTACTCACGCTAAATATATATTTTTTAAGAAACTTGACTAAACGACTGGCTAAATATTTTTAACACTTAAGTTTTTTTACGAAATCTGTAACTGTTTATTACATTGAACAAAAATTACCTACATTATTTGAAATCATACTTTGTGTTCAGTTAGTAATACAGTACTTTTAAATGTAAGAATATATAAATAGATATCAATTAGGTAGGTAAGAACAGTAGATGGTCAGATAGGTATTAATTTCATAAATTACTAAGTTTAGAGGATGAGTATTAACCAACGATTAGATCTTCATTTGCGTAGTTTATCATTAAACATAGCATTAGTTTAGATTCTTATTTAATTATTTATTAATTGTGATTGTAAAAAATATGAACTCTACATCGAGCTTGAAAAAATATTATTTTAATATCTTATTTAATATATTTGCTGTAATTATAAAATATGTATGTAATTTTAATTTAATAGTTAATTCTCAATTATATTTTAATTAATATTTACACTGCGTAAATAATAATGTTATTGATAAATTTATTGTTGTTGTTACATATTTTTGGATACATCTATATTATGCTATCTTCTTCGTGTTATTGTTATCGTAATGCGATTCAGTGTAATTTTAAACGTTATGGCAAACGTTGCCAAATAACCGATCCCAAATATTTAAACACGGGACAATCAACGTCAAGATATAATTATCTGCTGCTTCATTAAAACACCTCGCAATAATTATTTGTCAAAATTAAGATAAACAGAATTATTACGTACATATAAGTTAACATTCGATCATTAATCGCTATGTGTGCGACCGTCCTTATCGCCATCCTCTAAACTAGTTATACATGTAAGCTATAATATTATATTGCGTAATGTAAGTTTACATTATACATGTCAAATGACACACGTCATTATTCGATCCCATTTGTCATATAAACTCATGATAAAACTTTACAGTCCGTTTAAATTATAAACATTAATCGCTATAATATGGACATAATTAAAGGTCGGGCAATCAAATTGACGTTTTCCATGTTACGTGATCTATTGCGTGTTAAGATATACTAATACCGTATGAATTATTCAGTAAATAACACCATGTTCCTGATACAATTTTGATGATCGATTCAATACTCAGAATAACACGTAATGACCCCCGTTCCCTGCATCGTGACTGTGCGTGATATATAAATAGGGTTAAGTTTAATTCGAAAACATAGCAAAACTAGTCCATCATTCCGTGTATATGCGTGCAAACAATTTTAAATAGCCCGAAAACAGTAAACAGGAAACTATCAATTCCAAGTTTCCCCATAAAGATTCGATGAGTGGAGCTTCAGGCGTTGTTCTTCTTTTTTTCTACTATTCCTCGGCGTAATGATATTTTTTATAACTTTTGTTTTTCCTTTCATGTTAATTTTGACTGAGTATTTTGACAGGGTTCCGT